TTGGTTTTTTTCTCATATTTTGCCATTTGTTGGCGGGAATCGTAAAAATAAGTTTAGAATCTGAATCAATTACAAAAACTGTCCCCTTTTTTAGGACAATGCTGCAAAAAAATCAATTGATATCCATATGGTATATATATTTCCAAATTTTAATTAGTACACCCAAATATTAAAGACTATATATTCTTAAACCTCTATTCTAGAACTCCACTTCCTTTAGTTTCTTTCAAACTACGTTTAGAATAACCGAACAAGTTTAAATTCTAACTTGGGTTCTTATCAATTCAACTTCTATTGTCAATGTACACGAAGCAGTATAACCTTTTAAACATTCACTAGTTATCCTATTAATCCTTAATCATATTGTGGCTTCTAGACTCATGAATCGTGATAGACGAGCTTGACACTAGTTAAAAATATTTCAGAAATTGCTGAAATAGCACCTGCTAATTGCATGATAGCCTGAACCATCAACATTGGCTTTCATCTACAACGTACAGCTGAAATTTGCTATATTTTTTAAAGCTAGCAGCCCATGGTGTGTAAATTATACTCACACAAAATATTTCCAACACTTTACATATCGATAAAGGCGAACACCTATTTTATAAGTGCTATAACAATAAAATCCAATCTCCAGCAGGACCTAAAACACAATGCACAAGGACTAGTTGACTCAAACCTGATTGTTGGATCTGGAAGTATCTGGAAAAGAATGAGTAACAGATCCAAGATTTGAGTTTTGTGATGCAAACAATTCGGGTATGAAAAATACGACTCGTCATCCATTGACGCAATCTCTGCGGCTGGTGACTAACATGTTCCTGATCAAATATTTGATCATTGGAAGGAGGAGAGTCAAAATCAAATTTGAGTTTGTCGATTGAAGGAAGATCAAGTGACTCGTGTGCCCTGTTCCCTTCATGAACTTGATGGGAGTCCGGAGAATATGAACACAATCAGGATCATTCAGAGAATTTTTTGATCAAATGTGGCTTCTCTTTGTAGCTGATTGTTCAGGGCCATCATATGAAATGGGTTCTCAGAGTCACCCACAGAGTCTTCATCATTCTTTTTCTTAGTTAACTCAGAAATTCTAATCTGAGCAAGACTAGCAGCTGAGCGAGCTGCTGCTGCGCCACGCTCTGCAGATTCCCAGCTGTTGTGCGGCAGCCAAACATCCTGCAAATCCACATTGGTTTCACTTTTTTTTCTCGAGACTGTGACAGGTGGATCACTCTGTTTGCGGAAAACGATACGGGAGATAGTGATGGGGAGCAATGAATGGCACAAATGTCTGTCTTCTTGCTTGTACTAACAGAATTTTGGGGTATTTCCTCACTGTTAGCCACTGATCTTCTTTGCGTCACCTCCTCAGTTCCAAGTGCAGCTCTTGTGACAAATTTTGAGTAGCTCCATATTGTCGCAATGATTCATGATCAACTTCAGGGGTGGGGCAGCTGGCAGTGATGGAGTTATTGGGGGCTAACGTATTTATATTTGGCTGTTTGCCATCTTAGGAACTTCAGGAAATTCTAACTCTCCACTCTGTATCAGAATCAGGCTGTTCATGGTGAGCTTGATCAGGGACAGAAGTTAATGTTTCATCGTGTTTCTCTTTGAAGGGGAAGCTTAGACCCACTGACAAACTGTGTTGGCCCATTCTGTCAAAGAGAGAAGAATCATGAGGCAAGAAGAGAAAATCAAGACACAAGGCATTGTAGTGATTCTTACCAATAAATCTTCTTGCTGTTGAAGAGCTCAGTTTCAGTGGCAGCTGATCCCAATCTATTCATGCTCTTAGACAATTTCTTTAGAAGTTTGAGCTTTTTCTCAGATGAAGGGGCACGTATAGATAATAATTCTATTAACTGTCATCAAAATACCCAAGAAATGTCAAAAAAAAAAAAAAAAAAAAAAAAAAAAAAAATTTACTTAAAGTTAGCCCATGCAATCTTCAAAAAGGTAACACCATCAGATAACAATTATATAACCTGGCGATTAACACCACAATTGGCATGAGCTCAGTTGCACCCCGATACAATTCCTTGCCTTATTTGGAAGCGAACAGCATCTGCACCTGCAGCAACTCTGGTAGATCAGCACATCTCGGTGCAAACACCACACTGGAGATCGCTTCTTTCAAGTCAAGAGGGCATTCCCTATGGTAATATAATTAGATTTAATTCCAAAACTGCTGCAATCATGAACCTCAAGTAACTTCAAAGATTCTATAACAAATTAATTTCTGGACTAAATTTTTATGACTGTAAGCAATGAATACGCAAATCAAATAGCAAAAAAGTCCACGGTGATGAAACCATGAATCCACAACAGCATTTCTGAAAGAGTCTCTGTAAGTTATTTATTAGCTGGGCAGAAGCTTGATAAATCAGAACAACGCCAAAACAAAATAAGTTCAAGCTGTGGTATATAAGCTTGCATTAAGCTAGTGACTAAAAATGGAACATCAAAAGCTCCAGCACTCTAGATAAAGGTCCACGTCAATTTTACAATAAACATCCGTAAATCTTAGTCATCAAAACTGACTCGATGTTACATCCTAATAATAACAGTTCACCTCAACATTTAGCTTAAATAATCACTATAGAGTCACCAAATGAAAGGCCATTACCAAAGGTTAGCTAAAGATAGTCTGGGGATTAAACAAAAATATAATTCTAAACTTTGGCATTTTTGCATTAAAGGCCCACCGCACAAAGCACAAATTAAAACCAAACTTTGACATACCAATGCAAAATTCTTATCATTCATAGCAACTTCTTCACTTGGCAGCTATGCGACAAAAAGTTTAATTATGTAGCATATCATCATTAATGACACAAAAGTAATTTTGCTTGAAGTCCACCCACAGGAATTTATAATCTGACATACATATACCAATCCAAGATTTTTATCATTCGAAGCAACTTCACTATTTGGCACGCTGTGTAAGAGTAGTAATTAATGATGTAGGTAATCAATTTAAACATTCAGAAACCACATTAGTATATCTTAAGTTCATAATTTTGCATTCTTTTTTACTTGTTCACATCTTATATCAATTTACACCAACTTGAAATTTTTAATACCACCACAGCCATGATGAATTTTGAAGAGTGTCAGTAAAACTTTACTAAGACTCAACAACTTAAACATGCATTCTCTTATGCCATAATATTTCTTCTAACCTTGATCCATTTCCCCACTTTCGTCAGTCTTTTGAACTATTGAACAAAACTATCTTTTGCTTATCATCCAAGCCTTTACTACATGTTCACATTTCGCCAAACAAAAAGATAAACGGCCCAACTTCAAAAAAGATTTTACAATAGATTTTTTTTTTTTTTTTTTTTTTAATATTGCCTAACTTTAGTTTTGGATCGCTAGAATGACTCAATATTTGCTCACTAATTACAAGTCAGTAGTTTCAAAATGCATACACAACAGGCAGCCAGAGCCCCAAACATTGATAGAAACTGAGAAAAAAGAAAAAACCACCAGACATTTGACAGCAACTATTACCTTTGTGTTTCAAGGATTGGAAGGCGGACAGCAATAAGTTCACAAAACGCTCAGAAATCTCTTGAGCAGCCATCATGTTCCTTCTCTTATTATAGTTCCACCTGAAACAAACTTCTCTTTCACCCCTAATTACCGGGCAATGCCCAGTAAAAAGACTCCTAAAAAGTCCTTTCTAAACAGGAAAATCTTTAAATTCAAAATCCAGTCATATAAATAAACTCAGAGAAAATGGTGATATACCCGGATGCGCAGTGGCTTCTTGACCGTCTCAAGAAGGTTGCTATGTTGCGGCGCATCTGCCTAATCTGAATCTCTCTCTTGTTCCTAAGCAACTTTATCCGTGGATTGTCAATTTCAGAAGAGTTTTACTGTAAATTAAACAAACCAAAAACAACTCAATCCCACGAAGATTAAGCTAAAATTAAAGAACCCCGCAAAATTACAATAAAATTAAAAGATACCCAGTTGAAATAACAGAAATCTTCAAGAATTACATCCCTTTTCAGCAGTACATAAATCTCACATCTTATCGCTTAATGCCTTATCAATATATAAAAAAAAAAAAAAAAAAAATCTCAATTCAACCTCATTTCTAACAAATTATTGCTAAAACTCAATCCCACAAAGATTATGCAAAAACTAAGAAACCCATAAAACTATAAAAAATAAAAAGATACCCAGTTGAAATAACAAAATAATCTTCAAGAATTGCAATCCCTTTTCAGCAGTTGATAAATTTCACATCTCATATCGCTTAATCGCCTTACAATAATTGGAAATAAAAGGAAAAAGGAACTTCAAATCCATTAAACACAAAAAAGGAAAAAAACTGAATTCTAACTCATCTCTATCAAATTAAAAAAAAAAAAATTGAAAAAGAAATTGAAGTGAGAAAAGTACCATTTAGCTCCTTTAAAGCCCTTGTTGAAAAGAATCAAGCATCGACATGATGAGGGCGGAGGCGGAGGAAGATCGGATCAAAAGGCAAGGCTTCGCTGAGGTTTATGAATCTTAATAGTGATTGATGTGACGGAGAATTAGATGACGAAGAGAAACAGAATGAAGGTAAGGAAGAGGAAGAGGAGTTTTGTAATTGTACCTGCTACACTGATGAAACGCGGAGGTACAGTCGTTTGCTTATGGATTAAGGATCGTCTAGAAGGTTTTATATTGGTGGAGTAATTTGTGAGTATTATTATAAGAGAAATAGTTGTCGACGAAGATGAAGATATTAATTTCGTTTGTGGGCCAAACACGGCCTTGCTGTCGTGCTTCTGCTTCTGTATTTTTTAATAATATATATATTATTAATCATGACGAAATAATGGGAAATTGTGGAAAAATAATATATAAATTTAAAGTATTATTTCAAAATTTAAGATAATTATCACTATAAATTACAAGGTAATTGGGTAGTCCCATTTAGAGCTGGCAATAGACGACCCTACCCACGGGTAAACGATACCCGACTCCTAATGGCGATATGGGTATCCCTCCAAAATCCTGTTTCAAAGCCACCCGTACCCAACCTCGCCTGTGAAATTTGTGGGTGGTTTTTTTGTAAAGTGAGAGTTGAAGATTGTTTAGAGTCAAAGAGGGTGTGCACCATTTGTTCCGAAGAGTTTCAGTTTGATTTTGAGATTGTTCGGTACTTCGGTTACCTTGTGGGCATGTATATCATCAAGATTATATTGTCAAATAGCTAGAGATAAGCCGTGTTCTAAAATTTAGTGCAACTAGTTTCATGCACTACATCTATATAAATCAACATTCATTCAACTACGTTTTCGTCTACCCAATTTAATTCATTGTTCAGAGCTTTCTTTCTTCATATGGCCAGCTCTCCTTCCAGCAATAAATTCGATTTCCACACATCTCTCCATACTACTTCCACCTTGCCCAATAAAATTTTCGAAATCAAGATCTACATTCGTCTTGCTCTTGAATTGCATTACCCTTCATATCGAAGGATCCTCCAACACCATGATTCCACCCTAACTTTTCTGTTCACTCATAAAAGGTTACTATATGATCTAGAAGGTCCAAGACATATATCTGAAGAACTTTCTTCAATGGGAGTGTCACCAGAACTAATTGGATGGACGATATCTCGAATTAGGCTAATTGCAACAGAGATCGAGAGAAACCCAAGTCATCGTGGGATTTCTACAATTGTTACAATCCTAAATGTTTCTACGATATTCATAATCCCTGATATACTTGAAGAGTCAATGCAAGATGTTCCAAGGCCAATTCCAGCTACTGAGGAAGCTATTCAGAAGTTGGAAAAGGTGACGTTTCAAGATTGTTTAGAGTCAACGAGGGATTGCATCGTTTGTTGTGAAGAGTTTCATCAAAATGATCATGTTAATCAGATTGTGCGGATGCCGTGTGCTCATGTTTATCACCAACAGTGTATCCAGAAGTGGCTGAAGATAAGTCATCTTTGCCCCTTGTGCCGCTACAAGATGCCGTGTTCAGAGAATTAGTAGAAGTTAAGCTTAAACTAGTCATGGAACATCTTTTTGTAAACAATACTTGACTATTAATGCTTATAATTTCGTTAAAAATAGATGAAAATACAATCTTAATAAATAGTTATTAATAATTTTTCCTGATTATTAATTTTTTGTATATTACGCACAATTTATTACTTTTAAATGAAGCCAATAAATTAAACTAGACATCTAAGGCTACAATACAAAAATAAAATAGGATATTTTGCATCCAAAAGATTATATTTCAAGAGTTTATTACGGTCAACATCTGCACTTGGAAATTCTTATCAATTGGATGTTAACGATAAAATAACTGTCAATCAAATTAATTGAATTTGATCAATCAATTTCTCTCAACTTCTGCCAATTTTGTTCAATAATTTAAATGGCCCATATAATTTTTTTTGTTTAAAAAAATATATATATATTTTATATAGCAAAACCCAGTACTACTAGGAAAAGTTTCCTTAATTTATATATCTTTATATATTTAGATAACTTTGGATTTACAATGTTTCATCTGCTTGTAAAATAGTAAAATACCATAACATCGTATTTTACTTGAAGAAGGTAACCTTTCGTATAAGGAAACCTATATATATAAATCTTTTGGAAACGTGTTAATTAGGAGATTACTAGAAGATTTATGTGTAATTCTAAGACTAACCAAACTGACGTTCAAAGCCTTGCATTATTAGGAAAACTTAGCTTTACATATAATTTTATCTTTATACATATATATTTAGATCATCATCTTCACCAGTGAGTAATTATTTCTTCTTACCTTGATATGGCATCTAATTCCATCTACAACTATTATTACCAAGATTTCAGTAGCGTTTCCTCTGTGCCCTCCCATCTTTTCGTCATCAGGCTATGTTTTAAACATTTTCTTCAATTATCTTACCCAGAAGCCGTCACCATACCTTGGCATGAGATGTACCAAACCGTTACTTTCCTCCGAGAAGAGTTCTTGTCCTTTCAAACAGGTCCAACATTCATAGCTTCGATACTTTCTTCCACCGGATCATCATCTCACATCATAGACTGTATGGTACGAGACATCTATAGCTTTTCTTGGGAGATGCAAACAAGCCACAACAATGATACTGAACCGAGGGGTTTACTAATGGTTATCAATCTTTTCGCTATGACACCGTATGATGATCGTGAGACTACTGATCGTATCTTAAGCGTGTCATCCATTGTTCCAAGATTTAGGGCTGCGGATAAGGATGCTATTCGGAAGTTGGAAAAGGTGAAGGTTCAAGATTTGATGTCTACGACGCAGTGCACTGTTTGTTTGGAGGAGTTAAAGGATGTTAATCTTGAGGTTGTCCGGATGTCCTGTAGTCATCTTTATCATGAAGAGTGTATTGTCAAGTGGCTGGAGACAAATTGCACTTGTCCTTTGTGTAGGTACGAATTGCCACGCTCAGAGGGTTAGTACACTATGCGTCCTGGCGTTCATGCCGAAAGAAAATTTGATCAAATAAGCATTATGGTCAAGAAGAAGTACACGCGGAAGTTTGATTTTGTTTATGAGGATTTTGATTGGTTGAGTTACAAGAAATATTTGATGAAGTTAATTTATTTGATACTTCTTTATTGGTTTCCGAGATTGGTCCAGTTATACCAATGGGTTCAAAATAGTGTAGATCTACTTTAGCATCTGTTTTCAGTTTTATTTCTCTGTGGAATATTTGTCTTTTATTCTTTTTACTGTTTTAAATCTGCATAATATTCATCTTCAATGATTAAAAGAGCAAATTACTATTTGTTTGCTTAGTGAATTAATAGGTTTCGTCCGTGAATACGTTTAAACTCTTGACACAAGGATCTCATTTCTTTTAATATTAATTTCATTGGCCATAAAAAATGCAGTGGAGCAACAAGCTTCTACCCAGTCAGTTGTAAGCCAGCTGAGGTCGTAGTTAAACCTGATCCTGTCATTTTTTGAGTCACAAATGTCAATAACATGATTCTGGATACTGTAAATTTGACAGAAATTCTCTATGAAATAGACGAAATAATTGAACTGTATACCTGGTGCAGCATATCCATATGTGCAGCTCACTCAAATTGGATGAGTCTGGCTTTAGAAATTTGGTGGTTCCAAAGTCTGAAACATGGGCTTCATATTCTAAATCCAGAAAAACATTCTTGCTTGATATGTCTTCAATGGACAATCGATGGAAAGCAATCATGGTACATATAAGATAAGGAATGAGCCACACCTTTTAGAACATTTACTCTCTTACTGCAGTCTAGTTCTATTGCTGCGTTGTCACTCAATATTTTTTCCAAGCTGCCCTTTTCAAGATACTCATAAACTAAAACTGAGTGTCGGACATGCGAACAAAAACTATAAAATTTCACAATATTTTGATGTCGTAATTCTGTTAAGGTATTTATTTCACTTAAAAACTCCTTTTGATATGTCATCTGACTAGTAATAGACAGCTACAATCTCTCCACACAATCCTTTGTTCCCATCCCTTGCAAGGCTTCTTCAGGAGCATCTCGAAATGCTTTGTTGTTGGAAATCGGACCTTGCAATTCATTGTAGGAGATCACCAAAACAGCTTGGAATTAAACTAGAGAGGTTTTTATGGGAAACATTCAGAGACAATAAGCTTTGCAACTTGCAAATTTGAGATGGTATCTCACCTCTAACCAAATTATAATTAAATTCTAACTCTGATAATTGAAATAGTTTCCCCAATTGAACAGGAATTTCATCCATGAACCGATTATTGCTCAAATTCAAGTGGTCTACTCTCAACAAGTTCCCGAGCTTTTCTGCAATGGACTTGTCCAAATTATTACTAGACAAGTACTGAAGTTCTACAAGTGAACCAAGTTCACCTGGTATACCTCCTGAAAGTTTATTTTCATTCAAAATCAATCCGGTTTGATTAGTCAGGTTTCCCAATTCTACTGGGATTTCTCCAACTAATTGATTTGATGATAGATCAGGCTCTCGTAGCTGAGTTAAGTTTCCGATCTCAGGAGGTATCCTTTCACTAATTTCATTCCCAGCAATTTTCAAAGTGCTTAACTGTGGGCAGTTTCCCCAGTTTGACGAGATCTCACCAGAAAATTTGTTGTTGCTGGATCAATGAACTCTAGCTTCGGAAAGATGCCAAAGTCTTCAGATAGATTTCCTGTAAGTTGGTTTTCTCCGAAGCGAATCCTTACTAAGCTTGAGCAATTTCTAATAGAGTAAACGACATTTTCCCACCCAAGGTTTGGCGCAAGTTCCCACCCCTGGTTTCATAAATTGTACATTTTCACCTTTGAATTGACGAAAAACTGTTTAATCTAATAGTTAAAAGAGTAAAATGGTCATTTCAAATATGAAAATTTTAAAATAATCTTTCATTTCTCAAATTCGTCCCACCAAAAAATTTCAAAATAACCCTTCACTTCTCAAATTCACCCCATTGGCGATTTCAAGTAATTCTAGCCTGTTTTCGACGTATTCAACCCCTCCTGACACCACCATTATAATCCCCTCAACCCCTACATCAAAACCCTAACCTCCCCACCTGATTGAACCACCCAATCACTTAGTTTCAGTCGGCATTTCATCCAAATTTTGGTAGGTCCCGGCACCGGAAACCACCCCCAACACAACCAATAGCACCACCAGCTCCCCCCACACCCATAAAAAAAAAAAAAAAAAAAAAAAAAAAAAAAACATTGCCGATTGCAATTGCTTGCCGATCGCCACTACCTCTCCCTTCGGTTTTCGCATTTTGTTGTGAACTTCCAGCCAAATTTCAACACCTTGTCGAGGTGCAATTGGGTGGAAAAGTTAGGGGTTTTGGTGAGGAGGATAAGGGGATGCTAATGATGGTGTAGAGAAGGTCCAATGCTGTCGAAATCAGGTTGGATTTTGGCTTGGCCGGGATCTCCTCTGGGGGTTATTTGAGAGAAATTTGAGATGTAGGGGTTATTCTGAGAGAAAAGTAACGGTGTTAATTTAAAGGTGAGAATCTGCAATTTATAAAACCAGGGGCGAGAACTGCAGATTCGCCAAACCTTGGGTAGGAAAATGTCGTTTACTCTTTCTAATACTTTCAGGGATCGGGGACGAAGAGGTTCTTAGATATTGGGAAGTACCGAAATGATGCACTTTATTTTTGGGAAAATGACCATATTATCAAAAGATGAAGGAATGAAACTGCTGAGTTGATTTTGGACCAATGATAAACTATAAAGAGAATTCAAATTTCCAATCCCTTCAGGAATTGAACCAAAAAGCTTGTTATATAAAATAGATGCAATAATTGTAAGTTTCTCAAATTTCATCGAACACTACACATGAAAGCACGTGGAGTTTGCATGGCTGNAAAAAAAAAAAAAAAAAAAACATTGCCGATTGCAATTGCTTGCCGATCGCCACTACCTCTCCCTTCGGTTTTCGCATTTTGTTGTGAACTTCCAGCCAAATTTCAACACCTTGTCGAGGTGCAATTGGGTGGAAAAGTTAGGGGTTTTGGTGAGGAGGATAAGGGGATGCTAATGATGGTGTAGAGAAGGTCCAATGCTGTCGAAATCAGGTTGGATTTTGGCTTGGCCGGGATCTCCTCTGGGGGTTATTTGAGAGAAATTTGAGATGTAGGGGTTATTCTGAGAGAAAAGTAACGGTGTTAATTTAAAGGTGAGAATCTGCAATTTATAAAACCAGGGGCGAGAACTGCAGATTCGCCAAACCTTGGGTAGGAAAATGTCGTTTACTCTTTCTAATACTTTCAGGGATCGGGCGACAAAATGGTTCTTAGATATTGAGAAGTTCCGAAATGATGCACTTTGAAATTATTTTTGGGAAAATGACCATATTATCAAAAGATGAAGGAATGAAACTGCTGAGTTGACTTTGGACCAATGACAAACTATAAAGAGAATTCAAATTTCCAATCCCTTCAGGAATTGAACCAAAAAGCTTGATATATAAAATAGATGCAATAAGTGTAAGTTTCTCAAATTTCATCGAACACTACACATGAAAGCACGTGGAGTTTGCATGGCTGCGTGTCGTTGATCAGGGTAGGTAGCTTATACGTGATATGTTTGAGTGAAAATACATTTTCACGTGGTGGACCTAGAGGTGGAACAAATGGGCCGGGTTAGGCGGGTCAACCCTAACCCAGCCCGCAATGAAGCGGATTGAACCTATTGGCGGTCTGGGTTGAACCCAACCCGGCAGCAACCCTCGGGCAGGCCGGGTTGCAAAATGACAACCCGCAACCCACAACCCTACGGGTTGCTGTTTTGTCTCTTTTAAAAGAGACCCGCCAACCCGCTGAGTTGGCTGTTGTCAACCCGACGGGTTGACCCGCGGATTGGCAAGCCGGGTTGGCCGAAAAAAATAAAAAATTTAATTTTTTTTTCAAATTATCCTTTTACCCTTGAAATATAGCTGTTTTATAGCCATTAGAAGGGTCTTTTTCGTCATTTTTCTTTCCCATTTTTTTCTATAAATTGGCCCTAAACTCTCCCATTTTTCTCACAACTCAAATTCTCTCATTCTCTCATATTCTCTAATCTCTAATCTCTTTGTTATCAATTTACTCGTATTTTAATTTTTATAGGTTTTTCAATTTTTAATTCATATTTCCAATTTCCATATTCCAATTCTCTTTCTTTAATTTTTATTTCTTCTACATCAATTTTTTTTTCAACTACAATGGATTAATTTTTATTAGTTTTTGCAATTTTTAATTCATATTTCCAATTTTCAAAATTCCAATTTCCATATTCCAATTCTCTTTCTTTAATTTTTATTTCTTCTACATCAATTTTTTTTTCAACTACAATGGATAGATATTTTTCTCCCATCAATTACAATGATGAAGGAAACTACTATCCTAGTCCTAGTCCTAATCCCGCTGATTTTATTAACATAAACGCAAGAGGAGATTCAAATAGTCTCGCTTTCCCATTCTCAGAATTCGATACACCTCAAAATATGCCCCCGATTCTAACAGCTCTCGGTGGTTCTAGAAGTCGTCCTCGTAATCGTCGTGCTCGTCCAACTTCATCTCAAGCTGAGGCGGGATCATCAACTGCCGTCAAAAGCGAAGACAAACACACATTAGACGTTTGGGCGCATTTCGACAAGTTTTACGAGATAGAAAATGGCGTTCAAGTCAAGAAAGCGAAATGCAAATACTGTGGAAATATTTATAAAGCTGATTTAGGTAATGGTACTAGTACTTTAAAAAGGTATGCTAATAAACATATTAATCAACATAGAAATAGAGAAAGCGATCAAACTCAAATAATTAATATGGGTACTAATTGGCGTTATAATTCTAATATATATAGGGAACAGTTAGCTTTATATATTACTGCAACTGAGCAATCTATTAATATGGCTGAAGATAAATATTTTGAAAGATTTGTTCAAAATTCATTTTTTCCAGGATTTAAAAGTTA